CCTGCCACGAAATGAAAATTAGGAATGACGGCGCCTATAAGTGACAGTAGTCTAAAAGTTTGTGGAAGAAAGAAGCAAGAAAAATTGTTAAAAAATTAAATTGCGGAAATATCTACCAGAATTTGATAAGGAGACGATGGGATCAAATAGTGCTGTAGATGTGACAAATATATCGAAATGTAGGAGCGCCCTTCTTGGTCTTTCAGCTACATATTATCAAAAGAAAATTTTGAAACATGAAACCATTCACTGATTTCAGGAAATTTAGAGATTCAAGCGGTTTTGTACCAAAATTTAGAAAATTCGTCACTTCCCTTAAAACCTAATTGCTTCAGGTAGCTTTGTAACGCAAAAAACCAACGTCTTATCCTCTTCAAATTGATGCTTTACGAGAAACCGATTCGAAAAAGCAGATGAAAAGCGCTAGCTTTACATATTTTTAGGGAAAAATTTCCAGGCAAGAAGTGTCCTATTGTCTGAAGCACAGATAGTGCTGGAGGAAAAAATGTAGCTATTGGGAAATATCGATAATTCTCTATTCACAATTTGAGTCGTTTGCAAAAATTTTATAGAAAGAAAATCCTGTGCAAATTTAAGCATCTGTCATTCCTCAAGCCTTTTTAAATCGTCATGTAGAGCCAAGAATTTGCTTGGGAAGATCTGCGGTCTTTGTTGGGAATTGTGCGGCGCTGACTTCACTAATTAAAATACTCAATTTGTACAGATATTTCCACATGCATTATTAATTCACTGGAAGTACTTTTTCGTTCTTTTTTTTTTGCATACATTTACTTAGAAGACGACTAGCGGGGCTAAAAAGTAATGTATGATGCGACGTTTGCAGTTGTCACCGACCCTAAAAGTGGTCTTTCGTATTTTGGATCGCTTACTAAAAGTTCTCAATTAATCAGTGCATAACCATTTCAGGTAAGTCGTATAAAACAGAAAAATTGTTCTCGCATTGTTGGACACATTGGTTAGGAGGTTTGGTTGACAAATGTATAAGTGTTTGAATTATATATTGAGTCTTGAGTTGATCCGTGCTGACGACTTTTGGCTGTTGATTGCATAAAGCATTTGATTTTGAAAACAGCAACTGCACTGCTTTCAATTTTACTTTCTTCAAGTCTTGAATAACGTTACATTCGTTAGAAACACGAAACGCTGATATATGTTTCGACGGACACACGCCAACGTCCTGTGTTTAAAAATTTTTCACACCCGGTCATTGTTCCGTACAGGAAAAGAATTTGACTAAAGTTTTTTTATCTTTTTTACCTGGCAGTAAACGCGTAATCATGCTGGTATTCTACGACAAAAAGTGAGTCAATGTTGAGAATTTTAGCAGATATGTTTGTAACAAATAAGGTCAGTGGAAGGAATTAAGTGACGGAAAAGACCTGTCAGTGCTCGGTTTGTTTAGCTCCTTTTTTATCATAAATTTTCAGTGCAATGACAAACTCATTTGTTGACTACTGGTAAGGAGAACTTTGTTATAGACATTGTCATTGCACTTTTCTTTGTTGCCATTATCACTTTCAATGAAGAATTTGTCTTAAGAAGCCCTCCGTTGTTCAGTTTGTTCCCTGAATTGTTGTTATGCTGCCAAAAACCGACTAAGAATGATTATAGCTTTGTAAGCTGTGAAAACACAAGCTTTAAAACAAGCTCAGATTCATTTAAAGTGAGCCACTACTATAATTAAAAAGAAGCCAAAGTTTAGCTCCAAAGTTACAGAACCGAAAAGCCATTATTTTGAAACATGGTATCAATTACCCTTCACCCTTTTAAAAAGCCTCTGTTTGAACCCTTATTCAATGCAAAAATGATGGAAGAAAATCAGATTATAAAAACATAAAGGATCAAAGTTTCTTTTTACTGAAAAAAATCCATGTGTAGTTGAAAGACTTGGGCAGACTATCTATTAAAAGACCTTTGACTCTAGTGCTGTTTACTTGTGCATTAATATTTTGGCCAGTTCAATTTGCTTATCAGGTGACCACTTGTGGTACTTTAGGCGAGATACTTGAAAACTTATTAAAAATTTTCAGTTGCCCGCTCTTCCTTGTAAATGAGACATGATTTTTAGATTGTTTCTGCTTCTCTTGTCAATGCCAAAACATTACTTCTGGCTACCAAAATGCCATCATCTAGTTTTGATTAAAAGTGAGACTAAATGTGTGACTGTTACGACTGAGTAATAAGTTTGTAATTGAGGCATAAAATGCTGCGTGTCATAGACATGTTATTATATACAATACTGACTTAGTATACAGGCTGACTAGACGTAACAAAAAGTATGAAATAAACAGCTCAAAAGAAAAGAAATAATTTTTTTATTTTATGGTTGAAATTAAAAGAAGAAATGCATTGAATACACCGGCAAGATATTAAAGAAATTGGATTAAACGTTTATGAGCAAATATTTAGCCAGTGGAGAAACATGAAACGATGACAGGGTTGAACGAAAAGCTAGTTCAAAAACTGGTCCTCCAGGAAACCGTTCAAACTTACAGGAACTGTCCATCGCTTAACAATAGTTTATAAAACCGTATTTAAACAAAATTTTTACAGTTTACCCAAAACACCACTCAAGTTTTTCATTTTTCAAACAATAACGAATGTAATTGAATTGCTTGCACCATAAACGGGACATCAATCTGCGAATATGAGACAAAATAGACGATATTTTTTTTAACCCGTGATTTACAAGCTATCTTAACAATATATGCCGAAATCAAATATAAACTTGATAAGTGAGGGCAAAATAAAAGAAAATAAAAATTTTGTAAAGCTGTAGAAAGCAATAGTTAACTTTTCGCTTACTTCTTACCAACTTATTTTACAACTGCGTAAGCCTGTACAAAAAATTGAAAAATATGATTGACGTAAATGTGGTTAAAAATACAAAATGCTGGATTAATAATCCGATTCCTGACCCAAGCTTTTAACATTCTTCTTGCCGAACACAACCTTTCGTTTTATGTCTAAGAAATCCGGGTTTACATTCACAGACATCAGCAATACACATGGCGACACATGGTTTTGGCTCATCGGGAGGGCAAACTGGTTCACATGCTGAACCACAATTTGTATGTCGTTCATTTGGACCGCAGACTTTTGAACCTGAAGTTAATGCAATAAGTACTGAACGCTTTTATTTTATAAAGTGGTATTATATATTTTTTGCTCAACGGTTGTAAACGACTTCAGAGATAGACCAAAACAACTCAATATTGTTCGTTCTTTAAGCCTAATTTCCTCATTAATCTCGAATAATTTCATCTACTTTAAACATGTGTATTATTTTTAAGCACGTCTACATTATTCACGACTAATTTTTGAAAATAAAGCATTCTTGTTTACCTTCGCCACTTTCGTCGTCAGTGCACTCATCTCTTTTTACACAACCGCGTGACTTATCTAGACTTTTGAAGACGTAACCATCATTGCAGACACAACCTGGCGGTCCACAACGTAGTGAAAAGCAGACAATCTTCTAAAATTTGTCAATTACACAAAAAACATGTGAAACTTTAATATTTTTTCCTAGTTTTTTACTTTTTTGACAGTTATATAAACAAATTATTACCCTATATAGGTTGCCACAGTGAATTACTGGACAAAAGTTTGTACAGTTTGACATATGTGCATTTGGTCCGCACTGTTGTGGCTGCTGAATGTCGTTCGCTGGCTTAGGCTCCGCAGTCGAACACATCAGTCTTGGCCGTAAACATCCACGGCTATCAGTTTCCGGAACATACATACAGTTAGATGATGGTGGCACCATCGATACAAGTGGACAATCTCTTCTCAGTACGCATCTACCATCGACACATTCATAGCCCGGTCTACAGTCAACTCCCACACAAGCTGGAAAAAGCTTTTCTTATGTTGTACTCACCACTGCCAATACGAACAAAAAACCAACCTTTGTCAGTGACACTATCAATGTGAGTGCATTTAGAGCACAGTTGCCTTATCAGTTAGAGGCTAAGAAACACACTTTTGCTTAGACTAGGCTTAAAATCTTAAGTCAACACATTTCTGTATTAGAGTTTATGCTTCAAAAATCAAGAGAAGAATCTTCTACATAAAAAAGCTAAAATGATTACTGTTGTTGAAATCTGCAGAGGAATTCTGTGGAGGACAATCTTCTCGCCTAATGCATTGTTCGTTGCTGTCAAGAACGTATCCGTCATCACACACGCAACCACGGAAGCACATTTTATTGCAGATCATCGGCTTTGGTTCTCCGCAATGTTCGTGACATGTTGAACCACATTTGACAAAATGTGAGAACTGAGGACATCTTGCAGGCTCAATTGTCACACAAGCATTATTAATACACGCTTGGGTTTCTAAAATTATAGTTATTGGTGAAACAGATCAGCGATTGTAGATCAGCCACTAAAGGCTAAAAAAGCATTATAAATGACATTTGTATCTGACAACTGCAGCCTCTGAAGTAGCAATTATGAGTGTTGCTAACAGCTTTTTGTAAAACTATTTGCTATTCTTCACAATCTTATCAGATATTCTGCTTCCTTATTTTTAATCAGCTCTCTTGACTTTACTCAGCATCTAAATTACACGTCATATGTTCACTACAAAAAAAATTTTAAAATTGAGACCACAGTATTACCGTTTGGAACTATTTGCTTTTCCATACTCTCCACTTATTTTTGTTTACTTTAACAAATCAAACAGTAAACTATCTGGAACAAATCAAAAAGTTAATTAATTTATTAAAAAATAAAAATTTTCGTACAGCTTTAGGCTCCTCAGTTCCCGTATAAAATCTAAGCTGCTAAAAACTTAAATATGACACTAAAGAAACTACTTATTAAGAGATAAAAAAACAATATAAAGGGGCTTTTTAGATCAATGATAGCTATTATATAATATTAAAAAATGAATCATAGAGTTACCATTTAACAAATCAAAAGGATTTATAGTGACAAAATTAGTTCCCGTTAATCCTTTTCCGAACTTGTAACTTTCAGCAAAGTTCTGACTAATTCTTCTCCATGCAAACCATAAGCACCCTGGCGCCTCAGTCATTTCTGACAAACCAGCCAACAAGCTAAATTTTTGCTCACCTTCTAATCCCTCTCCCTTCTCCTTCACCTACTTAATAACGGTACAACAATTACTTGCGTCTGCTATAAATATTTTAGGCAATTTAATTGAAATTTTTCAAAACCGCCATTTTTTTTCACAGCTTCTTCAGTTTTCCTCTGATTAATTTTCTGTCGTCTGTGACAGTTTTTCTATTCAAAACGAACAGCACTCAAGTATTCTCCAGAAATGAACATATAATCCCATGAGGATAAAAAATGTCGCATTCCGATAGCAACCAAAAAAGAAAACTATTAATAAAACCTAAAGAAAATTTTGTTCCATAAGATTTATAGCTGTTGCAAATGATGGAGTATCCTTAGCGGCATTCCGTGTTATGAGTTCAAACTCCCACAGCAATTTCGTTTGTTTGTTCTTTCCTCTTCAAAACCAAAAAATCTTAACATCTATAACATTTGAATACTTTTACAACTTATTCCCAACCTAGCCAGTGTGTTTACAGATATTCTCAGCTATAGTGCAAACTAAGCACCAAAATATGCTTAAAAGTTTCAGTAAAGTAAAGTCTAAAAATCAAGTTCCTAAATAAGAGTTTGACAGTTTTGCAGTGCTAGAGCATACCGTAATCAATTATCATAACTTTTTAACCTTTTGACGGTTTATTTGAACTTTTAAACTTCGAGTATAAACGTACATATTCCACAAACAAAGTTGTATTTCAGCTATTTGAAAATCAATTTAGAAAGTACATAGCAACAGCCAAATCAAAATACGAAATAAAAAAAAAAGAACAATAAGCCTACCAAAACAATCACTGTTTGTCTTGCAGCTTTCTTCGCAAAAAACCACACTTACGGCTATTGCCTGTAAATTGAAAATCGTTAAAGCAACAAGAGGAAATGTCTGTTGTATATTTGTGCAGTTTAAGATTTATATCAATGGTATTCTCTAATGAGTGAAAAAAAATCTTCCGCTGAATAACTAATTATTTCCTTTCTAAAAACATTTTTTTGGCAACAACAATAACCATAAGACCCTTAAAAAATTTTCGGCATTTCAACGTAAATATCTGTATTTTAAAAAAAATTTAAATTTGTGCCTTGCATTTTCAATAAAAAATTGTTTTATACAGCTAAACCAAACAAAAGTTCCCTATTTTTAATCGTTTATTGCTTCTCCATGTAATTAGAAGATTGAAAAGGTCCATCTAAATTTGTCAACCAAAATTTTAATAGGTTTCAGAAGAGCTCCTTGAAATTCTATTTGTTGTTTTAGATCAGTGAAGCGTTAAAAAGTTAAACAGAAAAGAAAATACCACTTTGAAGTTTGCTCAATTATACAACTTTTTTTTTCCTTCATTATTCTTGTTTTACTATTTTCTAAATATAATTGAGTCTATTCTTCCTACTACTTTTTTTCAAGCAAGGAACTATACAGTTAATGACATCTAACCTTCAAAAAATGACGTAAATATTTTAAAACGTTTATTTAGAAGTTCAAAACTTTAGCATCAACATAAACAAACAATAATTGTTCTACTTAGAAATTCATAGAAAATTCATAGCTTTCATGATTCGTGAGAACCATAAGCAATGACAAAATCAGAAAAGCATTCTACCAACAACCAAACACAAACTATGTTCTAAAAGGTATTAGACGACTAAATACTGTAGTGCAATCTTAGAGCTGCTGATGTAGTTGCCTCATTTCTTTCTCAATTTCTGGCCATACTTTTTTGTGCAACACTTACATATTTAAAAAAAAAAAAAAAATCGACAAAGGACCTAACTAAAAATGTATTTAAATCTGTAGCCAAAATACTGAATCTTCAGTTCCAAAAAAATTAGTTATTTAAACAGTCAAAAACCGGTTATTAAAAAAAGGAAGATGAAGCAACAAATAAGCTTACCAGCAAAGTGACAAAAAATTTTTTGCCTGACATTTTGAAAATCCGACAATAACCGAATAAAAGTTATTAATTGGTCTGAAGAGATGCCGTCCCTTGAACAGACAATACTGCAAGTTACCAGATTCTTTCAAACTTTAAAAACAAAAAAAAAACAAAAAAACACTGCCTAAACACTGACTGATAGCCACACGTTGACACTGCTTATATACTGAAAATTGCGCTAGACAGTCAGTCAGCGCCGACACTGAAATAGCACTTGGGCAGACATCAAAAGACTTTTGAAAGGCAAAATGA